AAAAGTATTATTTAGTAAATTAATAATAAGCATTAATAATTAATAAGCCGATTAAGTTAATGAGAGCTTAATCAAAATCACTTGAAATATACATATATTCGGATGTAAAAATTTATGAGTAAATTTAAATCAACAGTTTAAAACATTAAAATGTCTCTAAGAAACTGAATGTATTTGACAAATCAATACGTAATAAATAATATAATAATAAATAATTAAGAAATATGTTTTTCGAATAAAATTAAGCTATGCAGAAAACATATAATTTAGGCATTATTTAATCATACAAGATCTCTGGCATCTGATTAATCTTTTAATTTTGTAACTTAATAAATAAATTCAAGAAACATTTAGCTTATTTTATTGATTACGTGTTGTTTACAATCTTTGAAACGTAGCAGTTTTCTTTACTAATTCAATAATATAAAAAAAGAAATTCTTAGAAGAATTTAATGTTTCTTGAATTTATAAATATGTAATAATTAATATAAATATAATAATTTATTAATAAATTCAAAAATTAAAAAATTAAGACATTAAAAATTCTGGCCTAAATTATCTGTTTCTTACTTGAATGAATAGCTTGATTTATGTATACTTAATATGTATTTACTTAATTGTTTAATTAATAATGATGTACAAATATTTAAATGGAAGGTACGTGTCTATCCGATATGTATGCATATTTGTAATTCTATGTATAAAAAAAATTTTGCATTAAAAATGTATAAAAAAATTTTGCAAAGTATTTAAAAATTTGATCAGACATTATATCTAAAAATAACTTTCTTGGGCCATCAAAATAATTAGGATTCAAATTGGTTATTAGAATATTAAAAATTTTCATAATATTTTCATTATACTTAAACGTCCTACGTAATTATTTTGATGATATCCAATAAAATCATCATCCTCAGGTCTGTATCAAATTTTTAGGTTACTTCAGCAAAACCATTTTTTCCGCGTGCATATTCATCACGTACCTGTCATTAAATTTTTAAAAAAATCTCTTTAAAAATCGTAAATTTAAAATTTAAATCGCGTATACATGGACAATATAGCGTGAATAACCGATCTCTTCTCGGTTTATTCTCGTTGTGAGCAATCCACCTTGTATACGCACGTACGACTACGTACATTAACCGTGTCCGGTACGCCTGCACTCAATGAATAATTTCCCCGCAGTGTCTAGGAAACGTGTCTTTTTTTTTTCGTGTACGTAGTTAATTTGCATGGTTCAATAGCTTCACGCCCGCAAAGAACGGAAAGACCCGGCGAGCCGCGTGCTGTACGTGGTGTCCTTGCAAACGCGAACGCGAACGCACCGGATCGCCGTGATTAATACACGTGGTTGTACACCGGGCCGACTGTGCGAGCTCGACCGATTAATCCACACCGCAAGTAACGCAGCTTCACGCAATCCGAGCACCAATGGATAGAATAAAATTCCCGTTTCTTTGGCGATGGCTGTTAAGCAGATAGCGCAAAAATGACGTTCAATGACGTTTCTTTTACCTCGCCATAAAATTGATCGAGGTGCACGTCTGAACAAAGGTAAAGCGAGATTCAGAGATCTGCAGTTGGATTAATAACCGGTGATTACCACCGCAGCAAAATAAACCTATTAACCAAGGTTTAACATGAGCGAGAATCATCTTCTTCTTGGTCTTTTAACGGTGCGTTTAGAATCGCTGTAATGGAATCAAGAAGTATATAAGAAAAGAACAATTCTGTTGTAAGATTTAAAAATTTGGCCAGATTAAAAATTAATTTAAAAATTAATTTTCTCGGGTCATCAAAATTGTTATGTAGGATGTCTAAATATGATGAAAATACTGCAAAATCTTTTTATATTCTAGCAACTAATTTGAACGTCCTATATAATTATTTTGATGGTCTAACAAAATTATTTTTCAGATCTATATCCAAACTGTTTTTTCTCCGTAGATATCAATTGATATTTATGTTATGGTTTTAAAGTGCTAAAGGTAGTAAATAACTCAGCATAGGCTTGAAATTCTTTCATCCCGTGAGTAAAGTCAAGATTTTCGGTTCTATTTTTAAATCATAACTTATCTGTTACTACTACGTACTAACTGAATATTTTACTACTAAATTTCCGTATTCGGTTTCCTCTGCACAAATTCCTTTTCATCGAATTTAAAAATTTATTTAACAAAACGCAGAGTCGATTAATGGAATACGTTTTACTTTTATTCGTCTTTTGTTCGATCGATAAACGTCGATCGTATGCACGTAAAGATGCAAGAAAAAATTCATTTGGGGAAATTGATGACGCGGAATTTCTTTTACATCCGGTACATGAAAGTGCTAAATGGCTATTACCAAACGTCAAGAGCGTGAAACGACTCGTCAACGTTCGAGCTGCAGCCCTAGTATCGTTCCTCTCTATCTCGTTGTACCTATAAAGTCTCGTTGTACTTGAAAGTCCCTGAAACGAAAACTGCCTACTTCCGAGCAATAAAGACCAATGCCGTAATCATCGTGATTTAACGACATTGACTCGACCATCGGACAGGGAGTCCGCATAAGTGAAATATAATGTTTTCACATCAAATTTTCTAATCTTCGAAAGAAAATTAGAAGTCATTGTTATATCAAAGCGATTTGCAGTTTCTATTGTTGCAGTTTCTATGTACGTAGGTGATGATTTCAAAACGACTGTAACAATTTCTTTTCAACAATGACAAACGCTCGAAACGCACGCGAAATAATTTATAATCGAATTTCTTTCGTAAAAACTAGTTTGTTTTTGATTAAACTTTTCGTGTCATCTTTCATCTTTCCACATTTTCTCTCCAACGTTGCACGTGACATTTTTTTTATATTAAAATATTTGCATTATATTACATTTTTTGCATTTAAAAAATAGATATGATTATAAATGTTGGTAGAAAAATATGGGAGCATGAAAAAAACACATTTAGCTATAAAAAACAAATGGGATTTCTGCAAAAAAAATTTTTGTTATTAAATATTTCTGTGTACTTTTAACTGTGTACTTTACTTATTGTTGGAAAAAAAAACTATCTCAATCATTTTGAAGCCGTGTAATTTTTCGAATATGTGTGCAAAACTTTTGAAAGTTAATTAACAATCATCAATATTCTAGATTTAAATAGAATTATTACAATATCCTAATTATATCAAGTTCAATTTTCAATGTTTTACAGTAGAATCCCTCTATGCTGAATTCCCCTTCATTCTGAAACAGCTGTTTCTCTGTCAAGTGGAAGTCTCCTCTTGCGTCGCTCTCCCACTACGCGTTTGCCACGTGATCACATGGCCATGCGTAGAGTGAGAAAGCAACAGAAAGACAGAATGAGCAATGACATTTTTGTTCCACACACATATTTCGTTAGGACAAGGGTTAAAGATTAAAATATTCCACAAGAGAACAGATAAGGTTCTAATCTCTATTCTAAAAAAGAATAATCCCTCTTCTACAAAAAGAACAAAAGAATTTTATTGTTAAAATGCACGAAAATAATTTTTATGTCTTCATCAAAAATGTGAATTCGGTTTTAAATTTAATTTTATTTAATTTATATATATTAAAATATACAGCTCGATTTCTTTGTAATATTTTAGAAAATAAAACAGTTATCTGCTAGAATTCAATACTTGTTTAAGCACAAAAAATAAAAAATACAAAATGTAATCAAAATAAAACCAAATTCTAGTATTTTGAAATAAAACGGATATATAATCATTTTTTCATAAAGAATCATGATGACACTTTTTTCTCAATAATTTTCAATGTATTTAATATTCAACAAGAAAATTGATTTCAAAATGAAAAATAAAAATTCAATTATTTTTTATTAAATTTCTTCTAATATTTATTTAAAAAACGTCTCAACTATTTTATAAGTATGCTTGTTAAAAGATGACAAGTATGAAAAGTATAGTTAAAAAGGTAAAATTTATCTCCCATATTATTAAAAAAAAAAATTTTAACTTCAAAAGAAGTTTGAATCTAAGATGAAATTTTTGCGTAAACCTATGCTCACACAATTAAATGTATTTAATAGAATCATTACATCATTAATTATTCTTAAAATTATCTAAATTCTTTTCGGTTGAAACCACCAAACAGAAAAGTGCTGTAAATACAAATGAATTTAGAGGATCAATCCTAGCAATCAACTTTTCATTTCTCTCTATATTTAATAATAATAATATAAAATTTACTATATTTTAATAACAAAGATATTCTTTCCTTCCATTCTTCATATATCTCAATCTGAAGCCTAAATATACATTGCATTTTAAACACAAGTGTAGAAATGTTCATAGTTGAAATAAATGAACCAGTCAAAGAATACTCCTGTGCACAATAAAGAAAATATTAGGAACTAGAATAAATTAAATTTTCGAAATAAAAATTAGAAAGGAATTATAGATTAAACATAAGAGATACAATGGATACAAGTACAAAATATAACTATATATTTTATATTTATTTAATACTTGTGCGTTACATTTAATCTTTACTCCTAAGTCTTATTTCCAAAATTTAATATTTATTTTTACTTCCTAAAAAATAAAAATTTTAAATAAAATTTAGAAATAAAGGCACAATGGATACGAATAAGTATAAGATACAGCTATATCTTATACTTACTTGTGTTACTTGTATACTTCATTCCTAATTCTTATTTTCAAAATTTAATATTTATGTGTCTGATAAAAATTTTGGAAATAGAAGTTAGAGATAGATTAAAAAGAACAATAAAATAAAATAAAGATTAGAAATAAAGATTAGGAACAAAGATATAGCTACATCTCATACTTACTTGTATCCATTACTTGTGCCTTGTTCGTCACGTTTAATCTTCATTCCTATATAACGCTTATTTCCAAAATTTAATATTTATTCCTGTTCCTAATACCTCCATTATGCACAGGGCCTAACAATTCGGTGAAAAACGCGTTAAATGACTGGAGCATAATCGGGCCTGCCGAGGATAACTTACCATCGCTCTGGGCATATGCGCGATATCGACAAAGCCAGTCTACCTCGATAAGCACGATGAAACGCCAACAGGGAGCTCCTATCCTCACGGCAAAGCGTGGCATGCAAGCAAAAGACGATGCCGACGAGCCGCCGGCGCGGCACAGACGGCGCAGTGCGCCCGCCTGAGCAAAGCCACTGTCAACGACGCTGTGAACGTCGCCGCTCTTGGCCGATCACCCGCCTCTCACTTCGCACCGTACTTTCAATCACTTAGCGTACACGTAACAGCGCACTCCGCCCGCCGGACGTTCGATCGTCGGGCATGACACCGACCGCCGACACTTGACCGCAAAGATACCGTCTCGCACGCTACGACGTCTGTCTGCCCGATTACTCTTTCTTTCGCTCGCTCGCTCGCTCGCTCGCGCATGCGCGCGCGCAGGCGTGTGTACGCACGCGTGTTTACTTTGCGCGTAACCCTCGATGCGCGCTTAACGCGTACTCCACGATCCCTCTCTGGCCCCGAAGGATTATGAACCGTCTTGCGCGTTATGCATTGCTGTCGCGGAAACCAGCGACCTCGACGACGCAGCTCGGTTTCTCTGTCTTTCTTTTTCTTTCCTTCTTTCTCTCGCACGATCGCGACGCATAAATTCACATACCACGTACGTATAAGGAACACTGCTGATCAACAGCTGCGGCCGCGCCGCCAACCGCGCCTTGTGGGGCGCGGCAGAACTAATATGCGCATCACAAAGTAATCGATAGCAGAGAGAAGCTTGAAGATCTGTGCACAATAGACAATAGAAACAAACAGTAACACGAGCGATAGATTCTAAAGGCCGTGGTACATAAAAAAACTTAAGTAATAAGACTTAAGCAGCAAGGAAATTAACGTTAAGCGTAATCTACAATGAGCAGTAGCAGTAGTGAAAGAATCGTAAGCTATAAGAAATTGATCAATCACAGTTGATAATTCGACACACTCATACTCGACTGTGATTGATGGCAATTTCTTATGGCTTACGATTCATTCACTATTGCTACTGCCTATTGTAGACTACGCTTTAGTCCCGGTCTACAATAGGTGATTTAAGCCTTAAGCCATAAGAAATTGACCAATCATAGTCGATTATTCTCCTATTATTCGACTATGATTCGTCGAATCACTTATTCATCTTATCGATCAAGAAAGAACCATGAGTCTCGGAATATTAGAGAGTCTATGACGTCTGATGAAATTTTTGGAATAATGGCGTAAATATATATTTCGATCAATTTTAATTCTTAAATATTTAATTATAATTAGGTAACTCAAAAATCTTTTAATAACACTTCATAACTCTTCATACGAAATACAAATAATTCCATGTAAGAACTTTGTTTAATTTATGTCCGGCTAATTATTCTGGTCAAATACACGGTGTTACAATAATCAATTAATTAACTGAGTGACTTGCACTTCAAAACTTTTCATACGAAATACAAACGATTTAAAATAATTTTTTTCAACCGGACTTTTTGTCCGATTTAAAGATCATTTTACCCCTCGGTTAATTTAATCGACTAATTATTCCACTAGAATTAACCAATCGCAATTTGTTGACAACAAATACGATTGATCAAGTCCAATGAAATAATTGGACTTGGTAGATTAATTAACTAAAGTTGATGAAAGTGGCCCCAGCTCAAATATGTACATATAAATCCACATTTTAATTGGAACCTGTTCACTAGCGCCTCTAAGGGCACAAAATGAACAGTTTGACATTATGTATGTCATAACTGAGTTTTTCCAATGGATAACATGCTATGTGCATGGTCTTTGGTTCTGTTCCAGGTTACTATGTCCAGAATCAGGGTGTCACATATTTCAAAATTATTCTATATAGAACTTTTAATTCTACTCCATGCTATATCCATAAAATCGGTAATACACATCGTAAAATATGATTACGTATATGAAACAGATTGTAAATACACACATATATTATAAAATTTACTTTTGTATTTATAATTAAATTTGTAAAAGATTTTCAATAATTTATAATCTATAAATTTATATTATTTGTATATATTTACTTTGTTTGCACTATAACTTGTATGTTAACATATAATTTATAGTTACAGACAATGTAAAACTAATAAATAAAAATAAAATAAAAAAATCTAGAGTTCATAGTGTAGTGCAATATAACAAAATATGTAAAAATCAAATTTTCACATAGACAAATTTTGATTTTTCTTAAAAATTATGAAGATCAAATGACATAATTGAATAAGATTGTTCATCGTTTGATGGCTAGAATAAGATTGAATCAAATGTAAAAATGTAAAGTCGTGATGATTATCAAATGCTATAAAATCATCAGGAAAAATTTTCTTCTTTTTTATATGTTTAATGGGAATCTTATTTAATAAGAATCTATTAGCATAAAAAACAACACAAAAATGAATACTTTATTTATAGACAAACAAAAAATATAATAAATTAAAAATTAAAAAACAAAATATCGTGTAAATTAATAAAAATTAAAAGTTAAGAGAAAAAACCAAAATCTTATTATGTGAAAATTAAAAGATATTATTACTTATATATTTGTAAACATATTATATAATTATACTTAATACTTATATACTTAATTAATATTTATATGAATTTTTATATGAATTTCTTATTTTACTTTCATTTATTAACTTTCTAATTTTTATATAAACGATATGTTCTCAGCGATTTTCACACTACTTTTGTGAACCTTATTTAATTATATCTTGTTAGTAGCCTCATTTCATATATATTATATTAATTTTCTGCAGCTTTATTAATATGATCAGTACGATCAATATAATAATCAGTATATTTTATTATAAATTTTATATTAGAATTTTTATCTAACTGAAAAAAGCTCAGTGTTGAGTCGAAATTTTCAAGTATTTAAACTTTGTTTATAAGATATGTTCTGATTTATTTTAATAAATATTTTTATTATTTCAACGATCCTTTTTGCTCATCTATCAATCTTATTTATTTGTATTGCTCTACGAGCTGTTATATATTTTGTTACATATTTTTTCTTATTTAAAATTTACTTTAGAGAAAAATCTATGAAAAATGTTAAAAATAAAAAGAAAATTTGAAAAATTAAAAATTTATTTATTTTCTCATACAGGCCAATATATCCGCTTTTCATTTTGCAGCGTTTCAATTTGTTTTCAGTGTTTGAATTTAAATTTTCAATCACACAAAGTTATTCGCGAACGAAGGGAAGGGAGAAGTGCTAACAACAACTCGCTGTCAATCGCTACTCATCGGTACATTCGTATATGTATACAATTAGTTTTTTCATGTTTTTTTCGAACCTTGCGAGTTCTCCTTCTATACATCATGAGCATATTAAAATCTCGCATGCCGCACATTCGCACAGTTTGCTCTCCATGTAACTACGTGCCTCTGCAAACGCGAGCACGCCACTCGTCATTATTCACATAATTGGCCTTAGGTGACTTACCTGACAGAATCAAACTTATTCGCCGAATTCACCGGATTAAAATAAGGTATTGTAATTCTCTTCTCACCTATATCTTTTATACTTTGGATAACTGTAAGACACTTCGAATTTTTTATCCGAACAATTTTTTATCCGAACATTTTTGACATGTATCAGAAATAACGTTTCATTTAATTTATCTTTATTTAATTTGTCTTTATTAATATTTTCGCACTAAAGATGACCATATTAAAGATCGAAACAATTGCGTTGCAACAATAAATTTCTATAACGTTAATAATTATTAAAATATTTAATGTTGTCATCTAGCTTCAGTTCGAAAAGTCCTTTATTTATACTCTTGATTTACTTCTAGACAAAGCTTTTAACTGTTATTATTAATTATTTATTATACATTATATAACTTATTTCTGCATTTTGATACTCCTGAATCGATTAAAGTAATTGAAGTCAATATATTTTCTTTATATTTAGTTATTTTTATGTTATTATAATAATATACTTTAAATACTCTTTTTGCTGTATACAATTCTTTACTTTATTTAAAATTTTTTTCCTCAAAGAAAGAAATGCATTAATATAAGTTTCCAGTAACTTTAGTAATAATTAAAAAATAATAAACATTTAATAAATTAATTCCAGAAAAAATACATATAATATAAACAAACTGTACATACTTTAGTTAATCTCTTGATCAACTCTATTAAATAACAATTTATGTCGTTAAAAATTGAAATATTTATAGCTAAGTTTAAATTGGTCATTAATTAAAATATTTTGGTCTGAAAATATGTATCATATAATTTTTTATTAATTTTGTAAATAACACTAATTAAATGTATGTTTTATAAATATTATGTTCAATTTTAATAAAATGCTTAAAAATGTAAGCATTTATAATTTTTTTTTAGTGTTATTATAGTTAATTCTTCTGTTTTTATTAGTTAGCTGTAAAGTCAAATTTTCTTTTGTTTAATCCATGTGCATTCCTCTTCTATACATATCTTAAAATATGTAATAATATTGAAATAACTAAAAAAAAACAGAATATGTTATACTTGTGTTATGCTACTAGACAAGAATAATTTTAAAAAATAAATTAATATATAATTACAGCATATACGTTTTCCTAAACAAGTTGAAACGTTAAAAGCATGAAATCTGAAATATTCGAATTTTGCGTGCGGTTGTTTACATTATACAATTAAAAATAATAGTCATACATAACAAACATTTTGACATTCAGATAAAGACATTTTCGTGTGTCATGACTTATACAATGTAAAATTATCCTATTATATTCTAAATTATTTTTAATTTAGAATTTAATAAAATTTACAAACGCGTCGAAAATAATCTTTTACATTATATTTGATATTATATTTTAAATATTATTTTTAATGCGCTTGTTACCTTTATTTTCTGATTTTTTGCATTAATTTGGAATATAATAGGACAACTTTACATTGTATGAGTTATGATATACTGAGGATGAGGAGAATTTAATCTGAAGTCGTAACGTTTGTTAGGTATGATCATTATTTTATAATATAAACAAGAGATTCGGCGTTTTAGCTTACATACTCCCGGCTTTTAGATCCTTATTTAAAGAAAACTTGATTTAAATAAAGGAAATTTCATTCTTGACAATTCAACAAAATCAAGAAGAATCAATTTTATTGTAATTTTATAATATATGTAATATTTTATACTTTTATAATATTCTCCTATTTGTTTATCCGATTTATTTCTCCGAATATCTAAATATTTTTATTTAGCATTTTATGTATTCTTAAATATTTATTAAATTTTTTTTAATGTGTTTTGTAATAAACAAATATTTTGGGATAATATTATTATACAAATAATTTTTTGACTTACAATTTTAACGTACAATTTTATATTAATTTGAATATTATTTATTATCACTTATATATAAGCATAATTAATTAGTAAAACAACGCATACTTATTTTTTATACTTAAATCTTTTTATGTTACTTTTATCATCTTTAGAAATAAATTTTCCGAATCCAAGATTTCAGTGACCAATATGCGAATAATAACTGACAAACGTGTGGAAAAACGATATGATAATATAATAAAATCACAAAATGATCATCGATTATACAGAGGTTTATTACTCGCTAATAAAATGAAAGTACTTTTAGTCAGTGATCCAACAACTGATATAAGC